TTCTTTCTTTCTTTCTTTCTTTCTTTCTTTCTTTCTTTCTTTCTTTCTTTCTTTCTTTCTTTCTTTCTTTCTTTCTTTCTTTCTTTCTTTCTTTCATAAAGGTGGTCCCTACTTCCATATATCTTAGCTTCAGGAGTGAGAGAGCTCAACAAATCCTATGAGGATCTAGTCAAGGGCTTTATTTCCCGACTACTCAAACAATGTCCACAAAAGTTCATCTGTGGAAAACACCAGTGTGGACCATAATGTCATGGCACAGAAGACCTGCCACAGTGATGGAAAGTAAAGAACTCTGGAGAAAGGGCATTTGGGTCACTGGAAAGCTAGTGATCTGGATTAGGAGGGCAGCTTCTTCATCTGACACACAGGGCACATAGGAAGCAACTACTAGGTATCACAGTAAACTGTATGAGAAAATATATGGGCAACCATACATAACACCATATAAATACAGAATGTCATTGTTGTTAATAAATGGGCATCTTATATATGTATCATGCATGTAGGGGTGCATTTTTATGTCTACGTGTATTATTCTACTTAAGGCTTTAGGCATTTGAACTGACCCTGACTAAACTAAAGCACACATTTTATAGCATATTAGACATTTAGATCACTTTCACAGATTTGAAACTCACTTAACTGGGGTTCTTTCAGAAGCAACAAAATAATATTTGTAAAGGGACTCATGACTTTGATAATATCATTGTTATATAAATGTGATGCTCACATTAATATTATAAGTATATATAAATTTGAGGGTGGCAGGTAGTGGGAGAAGAAGATCAATACTAACAAAAAAAGTTCTGAATGCTTTTGTAATAAAGACACTAGAAACCCATTCTCAATCATGACCACCTGGGCAAGCTACTTATCCTGAAAAAAAAAAAAAAATCAGCAGGTCTTAAAAATGTCAGAGGTATAGAGCAACCTCTAGGCTTCAACTGTGGGATAGAAGAGATGTGTGGGAATAAGAGTCACTGCCTCTGGTGGTAGTGATAGTTCTGACTAAGAAGAAACAGAAAAGGGTGCAGAAAACAATAATGCAAAGTCAATGTCTTAGATAAAGATAGAACTAGGAGAAATCTGGAAGGAGGAGATGGAGGAAAAAGCATCATTAAATTCAATCTGAAAGAATTCAACATTCAGCTGTACATGATAAAGGCATAGGCAGCTCTCTGAACTTTGAGATACAAAGTCCAAACTTCGATGGATTTCTGATCTATATGCTGAGAAACAGTGGAGAAGGCAAATGAGTCATGAATATAATGGAACTAAATGGATAGTTGTTTCCTTTTATTTTATATGCTGTTCTAAGAAAGGTATTCAATGGAAGCTTCTACTTCTATAATCTGCAGGGCTTACAAAACTTTGAAAACCTTGTATTAAATACCTGGGATTTTTCCACAGAAGCTGTGTGCTTATCACACATTGGGCTAATCTCCATTCCCCTCTCCCGCTCTTTGTCTCCTTGCTGGAAAAATTCCTCCATGATGCGGTCTGTCCATTGCCGATACAATTCCAAGGACTTGGTGGGGTTGCTCAGGTCTGCACAGTGTACCATGTTGCGAAGGACCTGGAATCATCAAGTTTTGGAAATTCCATAAAATCAGTTATAAATACACCAGAACATCTCACCCCTCTTGTACTAGTACACTTGTTACCAAACCCAAACCCAATTTTAGTTGCAATATAATAATGGTATGTGCACCAAAACAAACAAACAAACAAACAAACAAAAAAACCAAACAAACAAACACCAAAACCAAAAAACAACAGTATTACAATAACGCTGGCCAGCGTTGGTTATTTACTATTACAGGAATCCCAAAAGGGAAAATGTGTGCTTTCTTAGATTGACAGTCACTCAATTTGAAAACTGGAAAGACATTAGAGGTCAGATTCTGCCATCATTTCCTTTCCTTAGTTTGGAAAAAAATGCAAAGAATTCCTCAAAGTAGATGTTTTCATATTTTCCACTTGTGGAAATAGGAGAGCAGTTGATGACAATTTGTAAAGCCAAGAGAAACCTAACAAGCTTCATGGCAACAAAAAGAATATCCAAACATGAGTTTGGGGACCAGCAGTCACATATGCTCTGTTACAAAGAGATTTTTATCATTTATTTTTAGAAACAAACAATCCAATAAATAGAGTTATGTTTTTCTTCATAAATTAGAGGACAAATGTGAATGTCCCATTTTCCTTAGTTTGATCTCAAAATAAGCTTCAGATTATAGCAGTAATCTAGGACAACTAAGTGAACTTGTTTCCTTTTACTCTTTAATTGCTGTTTGGTTTGGCTTTCTGTTAAACCTGAGGCTTTCATCAAATACCTGTATGCGATCAGTATAGTTGTCCAGGAGGAGAACACCTGAACTTGTCACTTTCTTTGTTTCTACCATGGTTTTCAGGTCTGCGAGCAGGCTCATATGCTTGGACATATCAGTTGCTAATACCTTAGGTAAAAAGAAATGAAAACTCAATAAACTCAATTTATCAAAGAAAACAAAGGTAAAGGTAAGTAAGGAACAGAGAGAAGTTGAAATATTACCATGTCAATAACCATTTTCCTGAGTGTCTGACGCTGCTTCTTGGTAAGATTCTGAAAGATGTCACAATGTTCTTCTTGTAGCAATTTGAAACCCACAGCAAGGTGATGGTTTTCCAACACAGATTCATCATTATACATCAAAGCAAGTTCTGAATCTAATAAATAAGTAGAGAAAATGATGACTTAATAAAAAGGAATACAATTCAAATATTGGCATTACCTCAATGAAATGAGGTCTAGTACTCTCTAGATAATATCAAGAACCAAGATCCACCTATGTCATTTTCCCCTAAGAAAAACAGTCTCTCTCTCTCTCCAAAGGGAAGTAAGCCAATTTCTGGGGGTGGGGGGTGGAGGGAGGAGTAGGGAAGCTTCCCATAGCTATAAGAGCATGGGCTTGCTCTTTGATTAACATTCACATTATTTTAAAATCCTTTGTGTCTTCTTCATTTCAGATGAAGAATTTGACATTAGATAAGGGCATTTCCAAGCAACTAAATCCTATTTGTATCTTAGTCTTTACTTGTTCCTACATTTTGTGCTTTGGAAAAAAAGCAAACCAAATATGCCACTAAAATTTATCAAATACATTAAGATTTCAAGCTACAGTACCTATTTTAATATGTTCACCAGCTCTGTCAATTGTGAGTTCTGAATTTTTGAAGAAGATAATGGTGTGAATGTAGAATTTCATTTTATCCAAAAAATGTAGTTTTTTTGAGCTGTCTAGAAATATAATAATAAACTTCAGTGGTTTATCAAGCAATCTTGATATCAAATTTTCTGCTGTCTGACTCTGCAATGTATGAATATTTAAATATAGTTTCCAGCCTGCCTTTCACACTGGAATCACACATATATTTCATTAGAACCTGGTCTGGTGAGAACATGGTCATTGAACTCATGAAATCATATTTTTTTATGTTAATTAAGGAAACAGACAAGTGATGGCAATTAATGTATCATTAATTGCAGGTTAGAAATACTACTGTTTTAACTGTGTGTTTTGAGGTACAGCTTCTGAAAAGGTGGTGGGATAGAAGTCATTTCAACATTCATGCCCTGCTCATCCTGTGAATGAGAGTACAGTTTTGTGAGTCAGCAAATACTGTAGTGCCATAGATGGTTATAGTAACAAGACTATTTTTCTGTATGAACCAGCTGGCTTACATATGCACTGATTTATGACACCAATTATTCCAGCTGATACAACCCATGTAGACAAATAGTTGTCCAAAGCTTATGTTCTTTCAAAAGAAAAACAAGGTTAAAAATATAATGTACCCCCCCATCTAGATCACCCAGGTATTCTGTTGATAAAATATGACTAGGACTTTTATACCAGGCAGTTTAAACATTTCTATAGAACTGTCAGCACTTGTTAATCATTATCACAAAGGGATGACCAATATTCTTAGGAGAATTTTGCTTGCATTCTCAGCATTTATAACTGGTGCGTTAACTGAGCAAATTTGAGGATTTACATTAGCATGGACTCCTAACATTTTGAGCATGACAAAAGCCTTGGGTATGACTTGAGATCCTAAGGCTGGACAAGCCCAGGAGGTCACTGAGGACATCTTCCTTGTTCTAAAGCAACCAATGATACTCAACTCTATGCAGCTGGAAGAGAGTGTGGGACGTCTAATGACCCTTTCTCCTGAATTATGAAGACACTTTCCAGTGCTATTTTTGGCATCTTATTTATATTTGGAGGTTCCTGTAATCATGTAGAACATTTTGACCTGCTTCTTCAGTTGAGAGCTTTATGTGTGAGAGTTCTGCTTAATACTAAAAATCACTATTGCATTGTCCTCAAGTCTTTCCTCATGGTTACTGGACAATTCCACATCAGTTACTCTTTTTTCACATAGTATTTACCAAACACTCAATACTTTTTTTATAGGTCCTCTGACCCTGTCCAAGTTTACCATGCAGCTCCAAAATTTGTTGCCAGACAGGACACAGTATACAGGAAAGGTCTGACCAGTTTGAGAGGAATGGAAGGATTACCTCATTATTACCTTTATTATTATCCAAAATGAAAACATTAGGAGGAAAAAAAGTTAAGCAGTGAATCATGTAATTATCTTGAGTGACTGTTCTAGGGGTGGACTCACTTGTGTTGATGAGAAACTGATTGGAGACTCCAGGATGATCAACGTCATGGATAGCAGCTGCAAAAATGGCAGCCAGGATTTCCAAATCTGTGAAGACAGCCTGCAGAGCAGAATATGTGCTTTGATTAACTCTGTGCCCCACTTGCCCCATCTACTTAGTTTCATATTAAAGCATCCCATTTCTTTCATGTTGGGAGGACTACTTATTGATTTATATAATGTCCCCCAAACTAATTTACTTAAAGATAGATTCTGTCCATCATCGTAAGGTCTTTTGTGAAAGGGCTGATGACCGGAAGCCATGCCCACATCAAGCCTGCAGGCAAAGTCTCAGGAAGGCATTAGACAATACTCTGGTGAGTGATCAGGTGTTGTCTGATGTTTGTTTCTTGGGTAAGTGGTATGGCAGGATGGCGCTTATATAACACAAGCACATACATGTCAGATGGAGCAAGTCAAACTGGCTCTGCTCTAAGATAGAACAACCTGCATGTGTTTTCAGGCTGAGTAACTTCAAGAACAAAGGCCAAACTCCAGGTTCGCAAGACTAGCAATATACTATTTCTCATAGCTAAATTTATAGTGTAGTCAGAGGCTTTCCTAAAGTAATTTTAATATCTACCCATTAAATATTTACTATGGGCAAGGTTTAAGAACATTTCTAACAAATAAAACCTAGTGCCCTACTGCTCAACTCCTTCAGGCTATGCAGGGAAGTTTCCTTTTCCCCCACTTGCACACAATGATTTAAACCTAATATTTATTTAGGTACATACTGCTGCTGACTGACAAGTCTTTCTTTGGCTGAAATATCTTTCCTTATCTTCTGTGATTGCTAAAATCTTTTGATCCTTCAAATGCCTTTTCAGTTTCCACTTTTCCCATGAAGAACAATCAAACTACTCAATAAAACATTGACTCTCTTTTTGCTAAGAATCTATTGCAATTTTGGTCAGTTTCTTGCTACTTAGTGGGTACCAAAAATAGAGGACAGCAGATAAACAGTGTTGGCCTACTCTGTGCTATTTTTATAAAATATACAAATAATGCTGTTTTCTTTCTTTCAGTGGATAAAAGAGTCTTAGCTTCATCTCATTTTTCCTAAGTGATCTTAGATTTCTATTTCTTAGAAAACAGAACCAAAGCAATAGCGTCGTGGATAGACTGAAGCTGCAAAGGGGAGCCGGATAGGGTATGGTTGGGCCCTTCTGGAAGTGAGCCTGCACATGTGGATGACTAACCCTCACTGCCACTTGTCCAGGAAGAGAATGGCCCCTGAGCACATTGCTGCTTATATTGGTAAATATAAATGCATTTAATTTGTAAAGGAAGGAATCACAGACACCTCACCTTCTCTGAGATGTCTATCAAAATGGAATAGTGGCCTTCAATGTTTCAGCATGATTTATTCCTCAGTCCTAGAATTTTCAGCTACTTTTCCTTCAATCCTTAGTATCAATTTTATGAATTCTTAAGAACATGGCCCTGTGTGTATTTATTCCTAACAGGAATTATATAAGAGTACTTTATGCTTCTGGGCTATCTTTCATAGTACCTGAGGTCCTGGGAGCAGTTTAGTATATTCATATTGAGAATATATTCTATACTAGACATTGAGCTAGAAAATTCTTAGATACAAAAGATAGCAAGAAAAGTAAAGCACTCTGTTATTTGCTTGATAATTAAATACCTTTTCAAAATTGTAAGAGGTACAAACAAGGTTATTGGTTGAAAGCAAACTTTAATGCCATTAATTTTTACTGAGATGCTATATATAATAAAAAACCAGCTCAAACATGCAGCCATCTAAATTATACTAAAGTGTGATAAACTGCCATTATTTATTTTTAAAGATTTATTTATTTATACATACAGAATTGGGGTATAGGCCAGAGATGCAGGGGGTAAGAGGATTCACCAGAGACAGAGTGGAGAGCAGAACAGGCATGTGTATTGAAATACACAGTTGAGGGGAGCATTGGGCAGGTCAGGAGAGGTCTGCCATGCTATATGGATCAGCTTCCTGGCGGGGGATTGAACTCGTACTGCAGTGGCTGGGGTAGCTTCATAGTGCTGTGCTTTTAACCCACTGCACCACCAGGGAGGGCCCTGATTGTCACTTTTTAAAGAAGACAGGAGGTGGCTACTCACATCTAGGGCTGGTGTAGAGAGAAGGACATGGGTTGACTGGGCAACATCAGCAGCATGCAGGCTGTTGTGATAGGCCACATCTGAATGATAATGGTCTTCTAAAGTCATCATGTAGGTGACAAAGGTATCGGATGAGATTTTGAATGTCTTCAGCAGGTCTCTTTCCTATGTAGTAAGATGAATCAGAAAATAGATAAGTGTATGTCTAACAATGGAAAAAGTTAAATCAGAAAAGTAACTGGGATGGAGAAAAATCACAAAGAGTCATCCAATTGCATAAGTGACATTCTCTCCTACTCACTCACCTGGAATATGGCATACATGATGCATGTTAGGGGTCTGTTGTGTGAATATCCAGCCACATTAAAGATGTTAAGGCCCCACTTGTTCAGGTCTTCTAACTCCTGTAATCAAAATGAGAGAAATCTAGGAGTTAAGATAATAGTCTTCATTATTCTTATTTATTTTTTGGACAATGACTGCTTAAGTCTTTAGAAGTGCCCTAATTTCAGGACAATCTGAAAATGGAGTGGTCTAGGATGGCTGGGTGTTCTTGTCATGCAAGTTCCAAGTTTCTGTATATGTTTTCCGAAAAGAATATGTGTTGATCCATGAACTTAATTTTTGGTCTACATGTCCCTTCTGCTTTCAGAGGTACATGCAAGTGTTGAAAGACCATACTAACCCCATTTTCCTCTCTCTCTCTCTTTTGCTGTTCACTGGGCCACTAGTAACAGCTAGAAAACAATGTCAAAGAAACTCCTCTACCCTTTGTTTATCATCAGTAAGAGCAGAACAGAGATAGCTGCTAGAATGTGTCTAAGTTAACCTTACTTTAATGGAAAAAGTTGTGAAGAATGTATATCATGTATCATATCCTAGAAACAATGGACCACAGGTAGACCTGAAAGAAACATCATCAATCTTGTGTTGTGAGATTAACCCAAGGTTATCTGATTGAAAGAACAATTTATTCCACTTTAATTACTGCCCAGAATATGGGATCCAGCTCTCCCCAAGGTTTGGCCCACTATTGAGTCACCTTTACTCTAAAGACATCTTTCAGAAGGTCCCACTAAATGTTTATGTGTAACTCATTTCATATTGCAAGGCTCAAAGGACCTCAGCAGTCATCTTGAGTAACCTAGGAGTATGATTTTTTTCTGTGTTTTATTTTACTACTGGGATTTGGGCTCAAAAATCAATCATTTCTCTTATTTCTTCTCCAGCTAGCCTAAACAGGGCAGATTTTCCCATAGGTACAGGCCCGTGAAATGTCCTCTCGGATCATTTATCTTGCCCATTAGCCTCTCCTCAGATTCTCTCAGTGTGCCCTCAGCAGGATTCTCCATTCAAGAGCTAATGAACCCAACTTAGAACAGGGGGGGGGGGGAAGTCGTTTAATATATAAGAACAGGGTCTTTTATTAGGTACCCAGCAATGGACCAAAAGGTCACCTCAGCCTCCTTGAAAAATTTCTATTAGGGATGTTGAAGCATTGCCTGCTACAAAGCAGAGAGCTCCATGCACATAACACTCTCAGCCCATACTCACCTTGGCCAGATGATCTTCATTTTCTGTGTTAACTCCAAAGCGTGAGATGCTTGTATTGTTTAAACTTGAACTGTGCATCAATTTCTTTACCCCACTTATCTGTGTCATAAGCTGTTGCTTTTTCTTCTTCTCCCTGTCTTTCTGGGTGGGAGATGGAATCTCCACATCATTCTGCTTGTCTGCAACAAAGGGACATGTTTTTAGTTCATGTATGCCAGTGGGAACCTACTGCCATGTTAAAAGCCATGTCTAGTGATTTATAATGGACCCTTCATCTTCTGAAGGAGTGTTCTAGCATGACCTCCTTTGAGTCCCAGGAAAATCTACTGAGGTAGATGAGGGAAAAGATGGTAAATTTTATTGCTCCATTTTATTGCTAAACAAAAATGAAACCCAAAGGAAATAGATAAGAGAGATAACTTATTCAAGAAGTAGAAGAGGTAAAACTCAACCCCAGATCTTCTGTTTGCAATATAACTTAGAAGAAACACGCATGCAGAGTTTTTTTCTTTTTAATTTAAGTAAATAACTTGTGTGCTTGTATAATAGAAAAGACGCATGTAGTCAAGTCAGATTAATAATAACAGGCTTTATGTTCTGTTCACTTTATTATATTTGGACTCATTTCTAACTTAAATCAATATAAGTTTAGCTGGGTTCACTTGGATGAGAAATTGACATGCTAGAGAAATGAGTATTTTATAATCTTCAAATCTCCATTTGAGGTTAAGAGAAAAGCTATATTTTCAGTTTTACTTCATGTTTTATTCTACTAATTCTACTACAAAATAATAAACACAATGCCTATCCTGTAACAGCTATTACATTCATTAAAATATGCTTATTAAATATTTATGGCCACCTCATTTGATCTTTTAAAAATTCTGCTACACGATAACACAATTGGGATTAGAGAAAAAAATGTGTGTGCTACTTATAGAAGATCTTTCCTTGATATTATACTATTTAAAATGTCAGCTATCAAATATTCTATTTTCACATCACCTGAAGGTATATCTTGAGCAATTCTGAAAAATATCTTAACTCTTTCAGGCCATAGGATATCGATGAGTGCAGAGAAAATGCTTATTAATCTAAACAACTACCTCATTGACCTAAATGATTCCCTGTGGTTGAAAGAGTTAATGCAGCTTTCAAAAGTTTCTACATTTACCTCTACTTGTTATAGTGAAAATAAATATAAAGACAATGTTTCTCCATTTGAAAATGACAAGCTTCCAGATGACATGCTGGAATCTAGACTATTTGCTTTCACCTCTAGCTCATGAGGGCATAGTCCCCAGAGACCTCCATCTGTTCACAGGGTCCCAATGACAATTCACCGAAGCAAAGCAAAGACAGGGAGACAGAAGTAGCTGTGATGCCAAGTACACTCAACCATGCTTCAGGGCTGGAGCAAGGATGTTCTGCATCCCTAGCATTTCAGTATTGCCCAAATTCCTTAGATTCACAGGCCAATGGCTTTGCTTGGGGAGGAATTTTAGTGATGAGCTCCATTAGTTTAGGAGTTTCCAGACTGGTTTCATATCAGAAACACCCAGGGAACTTTCAAAAAATACAGAATTAAGAGCCCCACCCAATCCTACTGAACTGGTAAATTTTAAAAGCTTCCCAAGTGACTCTAAAGATCAGAGCCAGGTTTGGGAATCAGTTATAATCCCACTCTCTTACTTTTCCGATGAAACCAGCAACTTGCCCACGCTCAAAGGGCAATTTATTCAGCAGATATTTATTTTACAATTACTGAGTTCCAGACACAGTGATTCAATAGCATAGAATCTAGGCCTTGGAGTTCCTATTAAAAATCTCTTTCCTGTCTCACAATCTCTGGCAGAAAACATTAGATATTATATTATTTTTGAAACTACTTTTCTCTATCACTTCACTCCTAATAATTATTACTTTTTGCTAAAATGAAAGAACAGCATTCCTCATGGTTAAAGAGACTATTAGATTCTCCTGTGCCACTACAGATATAAAGGCTTCTAGTGGAACTAATAGCTCTTTGCTTTTGTTTAATTAAAGATTCCCTGTAAAAGTGAGTGATTGAGTCAAACTACTACTGTGTCTGGAACATTACTATAAAGAAGGCCATTATTCAAGGAGCACCAATCTGAACATAAATGGGTGTTTCCCTGTGCAGGCATTGGAACAACTGAGAGGTTTCCCTATCCTGAATTTCTTCTGTTAAATGCTTAGCCAGCACACTGCGGAAATAACCTGAAATACAGACTCAAAGAATCACAATAAACACTTAGGGGATTTACATTTACAGAATGGTCAGAACACAGTGGGGAAAGAGTGGGCCAGCAAAAAGCAAATAAACAAAAACACGGATGCCAAAAATGATCACGTCAAAACTCTGTTAATAGTGTAATTTGAGGTGCCTTTCTTAATAGCTCAGAGCACTTAATTCTTAAAGTCTTTCTCATGTGTCTTGACATTTTAATCTCTATTTTTGAGATAGTAAGTAGGAGAAATCAAAGTATTAAAAGATCCTCTTTAAATATTAAGTACATTGTAATATCACATCTAAATATTTTGTTTTGTCTATGTTTCCTTACTTGTTCCTGCTTGACTTGTTCTTATACCATAAGCCTGAAGCTCATTCTAATAGCATCGGTAAGTAACTGCATTTGGTTTGTCTACCTGGACAGCATCCTTTTAGGTGGAAATGACACAATTGTCACAGATATGGAATTCCCTCTTCCTAGATGACACATTTTAACATTCAATGGCTTATTGAGGTGCTGCTCTTCATGATTAGCACAAGTTATTAAGATCTGCCTATTTTGTACTCACAAATATGGTTGCTAGATTATACAAGATCCTTGCATATTTCTGGAAACTCAATAATTATATTTTATTTTTAGGGCCAGCAATCCACATTCCTAAAGGCTTCTTCAAAAGAATATACATATTACTTAAACAGCCCTAAATGTGATTTTCTTCTACATATTTTGATTTCCTAAGTTAAAGAAGGGACAGATCTAGGAATCAAGAGAGCACAGTCTGAGTACTGGGTTAGGAACATATTGGTCAAGTGATTTTGGTCAAGATGCTTTGCTTTTCAGTTTTCTCTCTGTAAAATGTGAAAATTAGACTGTAAGACCATTAACATCTCTTGCCTATCTGAAAGTATATGGAGAAGGCTTCATGGTCCTCCAGGAATATTCATCATGCTCACAAACAGGAATGAGAATTTCACATGTTGCATTTTCAGTCGAAAAACAAACTTTGTTTGCTTTTCAAGATCACCAAATTGCAAGCTCAGGGTCCATCACAGAGAAACCAAATTTCAGTTATGTCTTAGCAAAACAAATAAACTACATACATATCAGAGTCAGAATTCTGAATTGGAGGTAAGTGCTCTCAATTTAGAGATGAAACAACAGATGCATCTTTGCTTTTAAGAACGGATTTCTTTTCTCCCTATATTTGTTCTAGGAATGTTTAAATTTTAACCTGTTTGACTAGGTTTAACTTGTATCTACACACACATACACACACCCACACTCACATCACCCTCCTTATGCTAAGAATCTGTAAGGACTGAGAATTTAATAACCTTTCTGATAATTTAATTTTTGGAATAGTCAGAAGCCAAATGATTGCTTTTCATCAAGATATGTGCAAATGGAATCTTCAAGAGAGCCTTGACATTTGCCTGTTTTGGGATATAAAGTGTTGAGACTAAGACTCATCTTTATAATCTCATCAGCTTTCTCACTTGATAGTCTTTGATGATAAAAGGAACAAAAGAATCTTGGTATATTGAAATAGCCTTCCTGTGCTTGGTAAGCAGAAAGTGAAAGAGAATACAGTGAAGTGAACTACTTGGGTGCAGGCTAGTATGTGTAGGGGCTCAGGAACCTCATGTAACTTAACTCTGTAGTGAGTCTCTTTGACAAAACAGAAAAACCCTGATATTTTAAAAAAGCAATGTTTATGAAAAGAGAAATTAATTCTTGTACTTAATGATTTATTTTTTCTCTCCCACAATCAATAATTTATCAAATGTCCCTAAACACTCCCTGACTTATACAAAATAACTGGGTATTGCACAGAATAGGAGTGTATTGGAAATGGACAGCAAAGATGCATGTCTTCAAAGGGAGAAAAGAGGAGTTTCAATGGAGACAAATGGATCAGAATATAATGTTTTCTGTTTCATTCGATTCTAGCTACTTCTTGGAGCTAGAAAGTATGGAAAATTCTTCTCTCTTTTTTTTTTTTTTTTTTTCTGACAAAGGTTGTCCCAATGCAAGTGGAGAAAACCAGGAGGGGCAGACACCACATACTGGAAACAGTTGAAAAGGCACATATTGTGCTGTTGCCCACTTACTGAATGTAGGGTAATGCCATGAGTTTTGTTTGCAGTAGAGGGATCAAAGATCAACCTGCTGATATCAGGCACTGCTTTGACATTAGAGAAATAGAGCTAATTTTTAAAATAAATTCAAAGAGGCATATGTTTCCATAAGTATCAAATAAATACTCATTGATTTAATGAAGTGCAACTATGCCAAGAGAAGAGAGGTGTGAGGTCTGACACTAAGCTAAGAACAGATCATTTCCCTGGAAAGTAAAATGAGCATAATTCAGTGGTAATTGAAAGTCAACAGAATCTGAGTGCTATTCATTATCTTTGAAGTACAGATTTGCATATTTTGCAGATCTTATTAAATCATATGTATATATATACATATATTCTAAATGGGTTCATTATACGACAGAAGCTTTAAACATGAAGTTAGAAATCTTTACTCATCAAATAGGATGCATGAGATCCTATTTGTCAGTGTCACATGTTAATACTAGCAAGGTGACAACAAAGCATGATAGATAAAGCATCAGATTGGGAAGACTGCTGCTGTGAAGGTCAAATCTTTTAGAGATGAAGATTCTTTCCCTCCCTCATTTGCCTTTAATAAATAGCTTAGCAGAAGTCATATTATTCTTATAAGTCATTCATATGGTTAAAATCACCAGATATTCTCCACCATATCTCTTACAAACCACCTAAGAGCAAATTTTTGGGTCAAAGCCAATTTGCTGTAAAAATTTAAAGAGTACTATGTTAGAAGAGCCAATGGAGTTGTTCCTAGGGTTTGGGGGATTACAGGACCTGCTCTGACCCCTCAGAGGTCTTAGTAGAGATGGAAGTAGATGAGCAGAAAAGGGGGAGAGGGGCGTCCTGTCCTGCGGGCCATAGAAATACAATGATTCCCTTCTGTCTTTGATGGGTATTGCTATTTTTTTTAAACAACGTTTTTCCAGCTTATCTTTCCCTAATGATTAATTTTCAGCATAGTTCTTATTACAAATGTTTTTCTTTTGGGGGGGGGGCGGGAAACAAGACTTCATTAAAAATTCACATAGGGAAGTCCTTGATGGGTTGCAGTGATTAATGCTGAAGAAAAAAAAAATCAGTTATGGAGCAGGTTTCCTAAATAATATCTTACCTAAGAAAGTATTTGAAATGTACTCAGACACCTGGTTCCCTGATCGGCTCATTTCTGAGAGATGTGTCAGCTCCCGGTTCAGCATTCTTTTGAACTGTTATAAAGAACAAAAATGAATTAACCACCTAAAAAAGCACCAAATTATCACTTTAAATGTTTCCTACTTTATCAAGAACAAAGAATTGCAGAGCAATTACCATTAGATAAATAATCCTGGTTCTACAAAATACAACAGCCCCTTGAAAATATGAAATTATTTCAACGTCACCTTAGGAAAATGAAGGCTTTCTTAAGATTTCTTAAAATTAACATCTGATTTCATTAGAAATGTAAACATAGGAAAAGGAATTTGAATAAAGATCAAAATAATTTAACTTGAAAATGTAGCTACATTTTCAAATACATTAAATGAAAATTAATTCTAATATATAATTTGAGTTTATAATCTACATAGTGAGAAGCAATTCTAGGTGGAAAGTTTAGGGGAAAATGGAAAAAAAGAAGCATCCTTTAAAAGTAGGGCTGCATAAGAATAGGAATCAAATACAACAATATATTTGAATATAATGTAATACAATAAGCCTTATTTCACAATCAGCAGCCTCTGTGGGCTCTGACAACACAAATGAAATTACAGATGTTTTCTACTTCACAGAAAATATACAGATGTAAATGTTGCACATTCTATCAAGGACACATAACAATCAAATTAACCCACCTTGATGTAACCCCAAGATACAGATAACAAATAGTTTGCCTCAGGCATTTTGGAATGCTCTCCTTGCCACAATCCACAAATCCCTTTGAAAGAATTTCAGTCTGAGAGAGCAATCCCAAAGGGTCAGGAAAGTCTTGCAGATTCAGTGGTAAAATAATCAAAACTTATGAAAGACAAGCCTCCAAAACTTATGGCATTTCCTAATGCAAACAAAGCCCATCTTCTCACTCCATTCTTCTAAGAAGCCTATGCTCCCCGCTTCTTTCCTGGCAGAGAGTGTAATGAAATCAAGATTTTCACGAAGAGCAAGAGCCTGTCCAAATGCATTCAGCTGGCTGCTTTGCAGCACCAGGAATTAAGAATAGTTCTGGTGGCCGAAGGGGTTTCCACTCTAGATTAGTCTTACTCAGTTGAACTCTGTAAGGAAGGAGCAATTCTTCTTTCCTGAGGGGTTGCCAGAGTAGAAAACACAGCCATCTTTTAAAAGGAGAAGATTAAAATGGAGGAAGCCCCATGAATATTTAAGTAAATCTGAAGGCGGTACCCTCCCCCATTTCAACTAGGTGTTCCTTAACCCTCTCTCCTCTGCAGAGACCAGTTCTCTGCAGAGGCAGCCTCCACACAGAGCTCAGCCACCTAATGGTTTCAAAGTGATGGCGTGTTCGATTAATTTGCTTTCTCAGCATTTAAAAAATTAGAAAAAGCTTGTACTGTGGCTGTTTTCAGACTTGGATTTTCTTTAATCAGATTTTGTTTTTTTTTTGCACACCAACGTGTCTGTGCATTCAGCCTTGTTGTATAATGACAGAAAGGTGAATAGATTTAATTATTTTAGTATAAAAGGGTTTCATCACAGAATGCAATTTTCTGCACTCCATCAGCTCATTCACATGCATTTAGATTGCTTTCAACAAATGAATTAAACACATCTACCTTTGATCTAGGATCTAGAGTGTGTTAGGAAACAAGCTATCATTTGCTGCATAAATGGTCAATTTCAGGAACTATAAATGATTATGCTTAATGGTATTCAGTGTTAGATCTTCTAATTCATGTTAGAAACATTTAGAAATCACATTAACTTTATTTCATTTTAGCAATCTAGATAGAATATGTTGAGAGAGTTGTTTCTTTCCTGTGAATGACTCTTCCTCCCTCCCTCCCACCTCACCCCACTTTTTGCTTAGAGAGAGCACAGGCAATAGCCAAACCTATTTGAGTCCGATTGCAGGAGATTCCCTAACCAGGCCCACCCATTCTCCTTTCTCCCTCTTCTCTGCTCCTCCACCCTTAGATTCCCAGGAGTTCAGTACAGCATGTTAAAGGAATAGCAAAGCGCCATGGCAACAGTCCCCACGCACAATTGGCTCTCTTTCCTGCAAGGCATTCCCCTTTCAAATGAGCATCCTGTACCGACAATGGCTTCACTTCAGACATCCAAGTCCCCTCTCATACAACTGCCTATACCCAGGAGACAAGGCCTTTTGAGGTGAAGCCAATACTAGTCAGTATTACTGCCCACTGGCTCACAGCACTGCATTGTCCTCAAAGAGGCACAATCACCCTCTTCTGGGTAACCCTGTTTTGAGTATGGATGTATTTTCCCATGATATACTATTAGTAAGAGTAACCAGAAATGTATGTATTGATCATCTCAGTTAGTGTATTTTATTTACTGAACCCCTTATGCAATTTTGAACTCCAGGTCTATCAAGTAAGTTCTGAATGATTTATTTTTTGAGACATAATGGGTCAGCCATAGAGGCTCATCATTTTCAGTTTTCAAAAGACAGATACCAATAATGATGACTGATACACTGAAAAAGGCAGATTGCTAGACTCTGACTGATCAGTTGAATTTTGCTGACTAGTCAAAGAAGCAACACTTTACGTATATTCTTATAAAGATATTGTGTGAAATGCATAGAATGAGATGATTTCTTTAATGTCTTTGCACTAGACTTAGCCAAAATATAACATTCAAATAATCTTCCTTATTTTGATTTCTTTGAAATACTCAGGACTATTTTGGGATCATTCAAGTTTGTATTAGTACAATAAGTCCATTTTATCATGTAAGTGATAAATATTTATTGAACACCTACGTTTTGCCAGGCAAAGTATTGATAATATAGCAGTGAGAAAACAACACAAAAACCTTTTTCATACTGTTAATTACTTTTCATCCCAGTAGAAACAGTTAGAAATTTTGGCATGTTAATTAATCACTACAGTTAACAGAGGAGAGTGGACACAGCTCTTTATGAAGCACATGGGTCCCTAAGCCAGATCTAGGAATAGCTAGAAATTTAATCAAGACAAGGGGAAGGAATATTTTTCTCTTTATTTTCTTGTCACTATCTTCCATTGCCATAGGACCCTTAGTAGATATATCGTTAATCAATCCCAACCTGGGTGCAAGAAAGTAGCATTCAGCTATGGGAGACAGACTAAACCAAACTCCTCACCAAAATTTCTGAAATATTTTACAGAAAAGACCAGTGCAGTCATGTAAGTAGTTAACAGATGAATACCACCATCCCTCTTTCTCATGCCAAATTGGTTCTTCTATGAACTTTGGCTGAGGGTATGGCAATGCCACTAAAAAACAAAGTCATATTACGGCAACCATAAAACACACAACATGAGCTACGCAAATGGAGGTCACTTAGCGTCAGAAATCAACCCAGTCCTTTAAATGTTGCTTAGCAACATCCACTGGTTTCCTCCTTTCTGAGAGAGGGCCCAACCACACTAAGGCAATCATTGCTCTCATGAAAAGGCATTTATGGAGAGCCCACTTATGTTCCACTCTGTACAAACTAAGAAGGCAGACAGGGGTATCTTTTACACTAGAGTAATGTAGAATCTAATTAGCATAATTAGTGCTGGGCTTTGTGATGAGACATATCAAGGAATGAAATAGGATAGAATTGTTTGAGGTTCAAACTTCTTCCACACTCCCCCTTTTACAGGAGATCAGCCTCTTTGGGTTTTCAGTGTCTTACTCCTACCTGGGAGCTGTTTCTGTTGAGCCAGAGGCAGACATATAGCAGAAGAACCTTGACCTTTTCAGAGCTCCACTATAGTCTTGTGAGTTCACTTCACTTCTCACATAAAGCGAGGGTAATATGTGATTTTTAGGATTTCAGTCTCTCAGTCTGAATCTGTCACAATTCCATGATAAATGTAGTGGAAGTCTGCTATAGTGTGGACATATTTACCAGCAGCTAGTATTTCACAGAAAACAAACTCTTAAATCTAAGGGGGAAAAAAACAGTCCAAATCGGAAATGTTTCATTTCAGCCCATAGGAATAAATCACCAACAAAGGGAGAAAAAGATTTATCCTTTCTCAGCAGTTTTATCACTTTTTTTGGTCTATTTATCTGTCTGTTTATCAAGTTTGATGATCTGTCCAGATAGGAAAATAAAATAGCTCCTGAGAGAAACTGTGTCCCAAGTAATCAGAGGATTGAAAGGGAATGGACATTGTTTACTTTGTCAAATGCAGTGCAGAAATCTACAAATAGGAACATACAATTTCAAAGAAATGTGGGGCTCCACTACCTAATATACACAGAATCTATTTTTCTACTAAGAATCTGTGGTCACAAGAAAACTCTGTTAAAGTCTACCTAGAAATAATGTCCCCAGAGGAAATGACCAAAGCTTCTTTTCAACACAGACAAGTAGTTTGTGAATGAACCCTTAGTAACACAAATTCCTCCAGTTTTTCCTTAAACTTATATACTCAACAATAAGATTTGTGAACACTGCTAGAAAAAAGAAAAAGATATCCTCTATAGAAGTGATTCAGTATTGTATGCTTAGGATATATCATTTGTATAAAATCACGGTGAATGCCTTTTACATAGGCTGCCTTTAGTAGTGGGAAGTCATTTTAAAAATATAGCATAGCACAAGCTGAAATTCAATTACATTTAATATGAACATTTTGTTTCATGGCTTCAATTTTTCCTTAGCTTCTTCAATGCTACATATAGAGATAATTTTCTGCTGAGCCAGTTTCTTCTGGAGTGATGGGACACTTCATCATATTTCTAAATTCTTCATCAGAGGAATGGTTTGAGCTTTGTGCCAACATCAAGAGTGAAACCAGGAACACTCTTGATAATGAATGCTTAGTTAAATTAATCACACAACGGAGGTAGTTTAGAACGGACTCAGAGATTCATCCAACTTTGAAACTTGATGATTTTATGTTTCTAAGAATAAAACAAGTCAGAAGAGAAGTAATACAAGGGGTTAGTACCAATTTCATTGGTTATTTTAAGACTAATAGAGGCTTGTTAGGGGAGGAACTGGATATCACTTCAGACTGAATCTTTAGTAATCAAAAGCATTCTTTAGCCTGTTGAATACGAGTTAAAAAAGGCTTTCCTCTCATTGATAATCTCATGATAAAGTAAGCAGGTAAATCTGGTGCTATGGGTGAAAAGAGGGTACCAAAGGGAAGAAGACAGCCCACGTTCTGCCCTCCTGTGGCTGGCTGCACAGGGATCATCTGTGCGACAGGCGCCTTATTGTGTGGCATCTTCCTGTTTGTGCAGTATGAAACAATTGCCGAAGTCATTAAAGTCACAATGACTTTAGTAGGGACTAGATTTTGACTCATATTTTACACTTTGTTAGTCATAAATTACTAAGAATTCCTGGGCATTAAGAAAGTGAAGGGGCTGAAAATACATCATGAAATCAGAATACTTGCAGAGGGCAAAATGGGTGCAAATTCAGTAGCAAAGGTCTTAATGGTAGAGAAATGGCTATAGAGAAGGGCTAGTCGATGTCTTCGTTCAGGCAGCATGAACCAGATGTGTGATCTTAGGTAGGGTCACTTAAGTTCTGGAGACTCTGTTTCTTTAGCGGAGGGGTCAATTTCTTGTAAAATGACTAATTCCAAAGTTGCTTTCAATTTTGAAAATTGCTTTTTCCATATCCCCTTTTACAAGTAATGAAGATTAAAAGAAATGAGGCACCCTAATTCCTAAGCACTTATACTTTGTAAAATCTGGTCTTTAAAAGAAAAACAGAGACATACTGTGTTTTCTCTAAAAACTTCTACCAAATTTAAAATTTGTACAACTCTTAACATTCAGAATCTCTGACTATGCATTTTGTCTTGTCTCCTTTCTGTCTTTATAAGCTCTATCATCTGTTTGAAATTTGATGATAGTCTTTTAGACATGTTTGCCTGAGTTGAGAGGCAAAGGAAGTTGAACTAAGCAAAATGGTAAGAAGGGTGAAGGAAGGAATAACATAATAACATACCATTGTCCCATTACTACTGATTCCACTAAACTAGTTCCATGTTTGGTTATACTAGAAAACAAAAGTTACTCTGCTATGCTAACATCGGGAGCAAACTACTGGCACACCAGAGAACACAACCAGATAAGTTTAACTACTTGTTTGTCAATTCAAAAAGAAACTCATCTAAACATATTCGAACTGCTCACTGACACAGTGGTGACAATAAATATGT